TGCAAGCTCTTTCAGAGGTGCTATGGCAAACCAGGTTGCAGTATTCATTAGTTTGAAAAAATGCTTTTTGCTTTGGAAAAAAAAGCTACATATTTCAATACCACAGAAAGACGAGCTGTCCTAGCAGCTCGGATTGGGTGTATCGTTAGGTACCTGTGTTGGATAACAAGGGGACGTGGCTTAGTGTTTACATCTAATAGTTGGGTACCTAACGCCCACACCCTCGGCTGAGTACCTAACGCCACGCACCCGTAGCTGATTTACATGTGAAACAAAGTTAATCATTTTCGAAAATGACAATTTCGTTCGGGTGACCCATTATTTAAAACTTCGAATTCGCTCAAATTTGGTCTACAGGAATGATTTGACACGTTAAACATGGATGCGTTACTTGTTATTTTGACAGGGCTTTCAAGTTATGTCTATCTCAGGTATGCAATAATTCAGGGGGCCTTATTGAAGCAGCAACTAGGGGGGAAGGGGACGTATTTCGGGATGTGCCACACCTCGTACTTGACCCTGGCAATCAGTCACATCGTAAGCATATCGCATATTCGTTCGTTATAGTAATTGTTCATATTATTACATCGCATTAGTTTAGAGCCACAGTTTTTCGTTCATATGTATACTTTTTTTAGCCTTTTCACATAGTACCGTTATACTTTTTCTTTTCTCTTGTGACAACATTAATGTTTTCCAAAAACTTGAGATCTTGTTCTTTTTTGTGTTGCATCGGTCAAACCTCAATTATGCATAATAACACCATCATCGTCTCACTATCATTGGCTGGGCATTCTATAAGAACTGCATTTCCCAACTCTCGCAAAGAGAATGCAGTGTTGAAGCTTATTAACTCAAATTTTCTATTATTCTGACCCTGCATTTCTGGGACCAAGAATGTTCCGGAGTAAGTGCCAGCAAAACTCAGACATTCACGTTATTGCTTTCGCTTGACTGAGATGCCAACACGGTTCTCCACTCCGCATAATTGTGCATGAGCGTTCTATAGTGTGTGCCCCGCAGATTCAATAAAAATAAGTACAGCCGTAACAGGATACCTGCTGCTTTATGTTTGGTACACAAACATCAATTTTCAATGATGCTATGATGCTTCTATGATGCTCCTATGAAACAGTCTGGATCTGTCTCATGCGCCAAATTCCTTGCAAGGCAGCGGTTTGTGGCACTGAGCCTCATTATTGAACTTGACACCGCAGTCAGGAGATTCGAATGGTATCTCCGAACATTTTTTATTTCGTCGATAATGGAACGCTTTTTGAGGATAAAGTCAGGAATGTAAAAAAGTATAAGCGATACGAGAATCGTGTGTAAACGGTACCCTCCGGCTCACAGAAGTCTAACAGAAAAATGAGCCATGCACTTCAGCAAATGAAGTCGGTGATCTTATTTCACCAGTGGTTTGGCTTGGAGTTGATGAGCAGAAGAGGTTGGTGTAGAAGTTCTCTGCGATAA